TAAAAAAAAAAAAAAAAAAAAAAAATCTAATCTACATTTTCTAAGATGGTCTCATACTATTTATACTGTTGGGGAAAAAGACAAGAAATAGAATTGTGAAAGATGCAAATCCCCATGGAATGCATAAGATGTTAAGCCCTATAACTCTTTTGAACCTCCAGGCCTTTCCTGAGTGCAGGGATCAGGTAGCAGGAAAGAGGGTGCCAGACAGACATTTTGCCAACTAAACAATTCTGATGAGGACCAGGACAAGGGAACAACTTTGTAAATAAATCTCACCAGGGAGCCAGGGAGGAAATCTATTTCAGGATTGACAATGGGACAGGAAAGGCCCTGAAGGCAGGAACAAGTAAGGCAAGTACTCCAGTGGGAGTGCAGCATCTTGACTGTTTGATTCGATGTTACTCTAGGCTTCCTGCCAATCCAGTGACATTTATAGAATGGGCCCTTATGAAGTAGGGAAAATGGGGCCCAATGGGCTGGAATTTGGGGGGTACCATGCTATATCCAGCCTCAAATCACCCTTGAGCTGGGTCAGGGTGACCTCAAAACACCAATGACTGAGGGGACAGGAGAGAGTGGAAAGAGGACAGTGGGCTTTTTAATGCATTGGACTTCATTCTCACCTCAAGGTTTGTTTCATACTTAGAATTACCTCTCCACTAACCAAGACTCAGTGGGTACTCACAAGATGTTGGCTAAATGAACAGGTACCAAGCAAGGTAATAAAAGAGATAAAGAAATACAGCATAGTACACACATATGGAGATGGGGACACTTTATATCCTCACCTTTTTATGTCATGGACCCTTCTTGCTGGTCTAGTGAAGCATATGGACCCCTTCTCAGAATGTTTGTAATGCATAAAATAAAGTAGATACTAATAAATCTGCAACATAACCAGCGCCACTTTAGACAAGCCCAAGTACAAAATGGCGCTGCCCACCTCCTCCCCTCCCCTCCCCCTTTCCCTTTATGAGAAGCCTAACTGTGCTGGAACTCATCCTACTTTTTGGCCCCTGTCTCTTTTGGTGTTTCTCTAATTTCTTGCAGGAATGTATACAGGCTTCCCCAGAGGAATACAGCCTCCCCACACAAAACCAATACCCCGCCACCTAAATCTTTTATTTTTTCCATATCTTCACCCATCTCCAGCAGGAAGTAGCTTCAGAAGAATGAGACCTCCACCCTTTCCCCCTTTTTCTTATACTTAAAAGGCAGGAATAATATATCTGCAACATAACCAGCACCACTTTAGACAAGCCCAAGTACAAAATGGCGCCGCCCACCTCCTCCCCTCCCCCCTTCCCTTTATGAGAAGCCTCCTGACTTAAACAGAAACCCCTTTTGCTTCCACAAGGACACAGTTCTCCACACCGATCCACATTAGCATAATGACCCTCCTTGATGGTATCAGCCAGCCCTTGGCACGCTATATAAGCTCTACCACCCCCACACCTGGTGCTGTCCCCTTTTCAGGACGGTCCCGGGCTGTCCTCCATTTTGAGCACAGCCGAGCAGATTTCTTTCTTTAATAAAGCGTGAAAGGTATCCGGCATCTTGGCTCACTTTCTTTCAGATATGAGACCAATAATGTTGAAATAGTTATCAAAATTTAGTAATTATTGATTTTTTATTATCATATTAAATAATTACTTAGCACTGGGTCATATTAGTTAGTTATTGCTACTGTAATTTCAAATTTGTATTGAGCATAAATGATATTTTGAAAAATCTACAGTAACTAAATCTTGATATAAAAATACCTTAGATTTCCATTGGTGACAAAGTCATAGGTACTGTTAGTACTGAATATTTTGCCTACATACACAATTGAAAAAGAGGCTAAATTACAAGTGAGAGACTAGTGAAAACAAATATGTAATTTTCCTCCATCCAAATTCATAGATCCTTCCCACTTCAAATTCTATCCATGGAATCCATGGAGGTCCGAGGACTCCAGGTTAAGGATCCTCCTCTATATGTATGGTACACCCAATAAAAATGGAACACAATATTTAAAGAACTATGGTTGGAGGAGAACTGGAGTGCCTGACCTCAAGGCATTTATTGAATAGCAGGAAAACTATAATGTACAAGGGAGACCTTGAGAAGTGCCATAGCAGAAGAACAGAGGAAACCTTTTGTGGAAATTAGGAACCACAGTTCAGAGTGGTATCTGCACTGGTCTCTAAGGACAACCTGGATTTTGGAAAAAGAAACTGTGGGGGTAGGGTGAAGAGCACCCAAATGTCCCAGGAAGAGAAAACCAACACGTATAATGGCCCAGAAGGAGGCAGGGATGCAGAGGGCCCACTTAGAAGCAAGTATGTAGGCCTAATCCAGGTAAATGAGGCCTGCAGAGTAAAGGGTGGGTGGAGAGGCTGGGAACATACATGGAGGTTTTTGAATGCTATGCTGGTAAGCTGGGCCTTAATCTTGTTGGCAGTGGCCAGCCAGCCTAATGGTTCTGAGCAGATTGGAGCAGAATCAGAACTGGGTTTTTTGGAAAAAATTGCCTTGGAAGGAAACTAAGGAAAGGGGTGAGAATCCAGTAAAACATTACCCAGCCTAGGAGTTCCCCTTAATTCACACCGTTGGGAAGAATTTTCAAAGGAAATAAGCCAGTGTCTTTTGCAGATCATGTGAATTGCAGGTCATGTCAATCTAGCATCTTCAGGGCACTGACCAAGGGTGGGGCCCAGTGCTGGCCCATAGTAGGTACTCAAATATTTGTTAAAGAAATGCTTATTAAAGGGGAACTCTTCTACTTTGTTGGTGAGACTGTAAATTAGTACAGTTATGGGAAAAAGTATAGAGGTTTCTCAAACAACTACAGATAGATCTACCATAGGATCCAGCAATCTCAATACTGGGTATATACCCAAAGGAATGGAAAGCATCATGTTGAAGGGATATCTGCATTCTCGTGTTTATCACAATTCTATTTATAATAGCCAAGATATGTAACCAACCTAAATGTCTATCAACAGAACTGGATAAGGAAAATGTGGTATATATACACAATGGAATACTACTCAGCCCTAAAAACGAATGAAATTCTGCCATTTGCAGCAGCATGGATGAACTTAGAGAAAATTATGTTAAGTGAACTAAGCCAGGCATAGAAAGAGAAATACCACATGTTCTCACTCACAAGTGGGAGCTAAAAATTAAATTAAAGGGGGGGGGAGGGGGAGGAAGGGAGGAAGGGAGGGGGGCTGGGGAGTAACTGGTTGGGTGTAGGGCATCATTACAATTCGTAATGATGAATATGTTAATAATAAAAAACAATAATAAAAAAATAAA